CATGGTAAATAAGATTTACATTTAAACAAATTTAATAATCCGAACAGAGAACTTAAGTTAATCTTGGCAATCAGTGCTAGTAATCCTAGTAGGATCTCAAAAGTAAAGGCAGTGTGCTGAAGAACTGGAACTGAATACTGGTTCTTGGTCTGTGAGCTCATTTACCTAGTCTCTCTGCATGGCCGTCATCAGCATGAATGTCCAAGAGGTAGACAAAACTTGCAGTGCCCAAGAGGACAGGGCTAAGATCTGCACTTGCAGATGGCTCAGTCACACCTAAGGGATGAAAGGCATCACTCTGTTTCATTCACATTGAACTCCACTGGAGTCAGGGATAAGGTGTCATCTTCTAGTCCAAGAATGAAATCTTCAGGTAACGTCTCAACTGCTATCTGAGCTAACTGGTCATCAAAAGAACGTAGAGTCCATAGTTTCTCTAATTCATAGGTTTCTCTGGTTTCTGGAAGCATCAAATGGATCACCATACTGCCTATGAGGAACAGATAAAAATTACAATGAAGAAGATTCATTTGCTTATATTTTATCAATGCATCTGTCCTTCACCTTGGACTTCTGGGCAAATGATCCACCCCCTTCCTGCAAGGTGATGCTGTGCCTTTGTTAGCATATCCGCCACTAAGCATGGGAATAATGAGGTCAATGACCGTTGTTAACCTTATCCAAGGGAATGTAAGTTGGTCTGCCAGGTTCCTCTGGTCATACCCTCAACAACTGTCTCCCAGGTTTTACTTTTCTGCACATCCTGTGAGCAAAGAAGGTTTCAAAGACAAGAGTTCTATCAGATAGGGCTTGCCTGCAGGACAAAGGACAGCTCTGCTCATAGCGATGCTTCATTGTCTATAGACAGCTATGACTGTCCTAACTGGAGAGAGGGAGTGGCTACTGCTGATAAGCATCCTGTTCTGCAGTATTCAAGATGTTCCCCAAGCTCACGGCAAAAACATTTGACCAGACATGAATGTGACAAAGCCGAGAAGCCCTGCTGTAGGGCCTTGCGGTCTCACAGCACAGCAAGTGGGCTGGCTTCTTCCACAGAAGACTTGGTGTACGTGTCCTCTGGCCGCACAGTGGATGATGCTGGCCTCCACCAATGCTGCAAGAAACACACCGCCTTTTCACAATGGTCTTGTGTTCGTGAAATTGGAAAGACAATTGTTAGCTTGTGAGCGGGCTAGTTTCACGTCAACTTGACACAAGCTATGGTCATCTGGGAAGAGGGAACCTCAACTGAGAAAACGCCTCAAGAAGATTGGGCTATAGGCAGGCAAGCCAATAGGGCCTCTAATTAGTGATTTATGTATGCTGTGGTGCCATCTCTGGACTGGTGGTCCTGGGTTCTATAAGAAAGCAGACTCAGCAAGCCACGAGTAAGCCAGTGAAGCAGCTCCCTCCATGGCCTCTTCAGTTCCTGCCTCGAGGTTCCTTCCTGCCCAAACGGCTTTTCAATGACCAACTGTTATATGAAGTGTGAGACAAATCCTTTCCTCCCCAAGTTGCGTTTGGTCATGGTGTTTCAGCACAGCAATAGTGACCCTAACTAACCATGGCAGCTTGCAAGTAGGCTAAAATCTCAGACACCTGCCTCCTGGCCCCCAAGTAAGCGTACAGCTACTGTTTTCCCTCAGTGCAGATCTGGCTGGGAGGTGTTTTGAAACTGGTATATATTAATATACCTGTCACTCATCTCTGTGGCGCCTTATACTATAAGGCATATAGTATGTTTTCTACTAAGAGTGTATATCCAGAGTACTTTGGTTAGGCAAAGCTTTCACATGTGAATACCACCACCTGAGCTATAATGAAATCAAACTTTGTTACTTGAAACATTTCAAAAATCTTACATTAATATGCACACAGCAATTTTATTTCTATCTTTTTGTAGCTTAAATAATGGGTATTTATTTGTAAACTGTACAATAGTAACTTACCAAAATCCACACATAGCCAGTCATCCGTGTTCTTCCCTTCAATCTTGACATGCGGATCACTTCTACATTTTAGGTGTTTATACTAGGGGGGAAAAAGCAGGCCATACATTTAGGAGAGAGTCTCTGTGTCTACTTAAGACCTAGTGAGTTTTCTTGGACTGAATTTGGGGACTAGTTAATTCATTTCTCACAGCCATCATAGGCAATTATGATTGCCCCGTGATTCATAATTTAGAGAAAAGAATTTTCTCCGTAAGTTTTCTCCTGGGCTCTCTTTCTCTGGACTCAAATGGCCCAGGTCTTTCCACGCAGGCCACCTCACTCATCCACGAAAGCACCCGAGGTGCTGTCTGGTTCCTACCACACGTGCCCCCTCAGCTGCCCTCGCTCTCGGGAGAAGCAGACACCACTTCCTGTTGAAGGGTAGTCTCAGTGCTGACTCCACACAAGCTCAGGATATACGATAAGCATCTCATGTGTTTTCCCCAAAGAACTATGGACAGTCAGCGCTCACCTGTCAGGAATACCAGCAGAGAACTATGAGAGACGCGGGGACATTCTAAAGACAAAGGCGGCTGACTGACTACACACCCTTAATTCAAAACAAAGGAGGCTTTTTTAATAGCAAACTTCACTCACCAAGTCATCTTCCCAACCCCTTTCCACTGTTTGGAGAGGGTCTTGCTTTGTAGCCCTAGCTGGCCTCAGAACCGCCATCCACAGCATCCACATAAAAAGCGGAGTATAGCTGGATGGTAGTGTTACACACCTTTAATCCCAGCACTCAGAGGCAGAGCCAGGTGGATTTCTGAGTTTGAGACCAGCCTAGTCTACAGAGCGAGTCCAGGACAGCCAGGGGTACAGGAGAAACCCTGTCTTGAACCACCCCCCTCCTCAAAAAATAAATAAATAATAAAGAGTCTAGTAGTGTGCACCTGTAACTCCAGGCAGATCTTAGGGGCTAGTCAGGCTGAATCAGCAACCCTCAAGTTCAGTGAGACTGTCTCAAAAAGTAACTTTGAGAGAAGAGAGGAAGAAACTAGATGACCGCTGGCCTCCACATGAACATAATTCCAAAGGCCAGCTGGGTGTGGGGGTTTATGTTGGCAATCACAGCACCTGAAAGGCTGGGGAAAGGGGATCACCACAAGATGGAAGCTAGTCTGGCCATACAGGAAGCCTGTCTTAAATAGTCTATGGGGGTCAAATACCACAAGATTTAACGTGTGTGTGTGTGTGTGTGTGTGTGTGTGTGTGAGAGAGAGAGAGAGAGAGAGAGAGAGAGAAGAGAGTGAGAGAGTGAGAGAGTGAGAGAGTGTGTTAGTTCAATTAGCCTACGTTCAATCCTGGATAGAGCAACTACATTCATAAGGGACTTGATCAATGCTATCATTTAGATCCACTAAACAGATCATTCCACGTCACAACTGAGTAATACTTTTCTGGGTGTACCAGGAACGGTCTGTGGCAACACATATTAACCAGACCACAAATAAGTAACTTATAAAAATCATTTTTTGAGACAGGGTCTCACTAGCTCTGGTTGGCCTCAAACTCAAGAGATCTGCTTGCCTCTGCCTCCTAAGTGCTGGGATTAAAGGCCTGCAACACTACACCCAGCTTAATATATTTTTTTAGTCACATAGAATATGTTCTCATAGTGACAGAATGAAACTAGAAATCAACAGAAGGAAAACCTACAGATCTGCAGAATTTATCAGTGTGCTTGAGCTACTGTGGTTAGAGAAGAGACAGACAAAAAAAGCATGGGGACATGAACATGAACTTGTGGGATACAGCAAATGCACTGCTAGGAGGAAACTTGGAGATGCAGACGCTTGTACTGAAATCCCGACTGCAGTTCAACAGCCCTATATATATATATATATATATACTGTAAAGAACAAGAAAGTGAAAATGTAGATGACCTAGACACAAGACAAGGATGTCCACTTTGATTGGAAGTTCTAGCCAGAACAATTAAATGAAAGAAAGAGCATCCAACTTGGAGGGGGAAAAAAAAAACAATTTCAAAAAGAATTAAAATATATCTGAGCCAACATTTCTCTAAACCCTTTTTGTTTTGTTTTTGTTTTTTTGAGACAGGGTTTCTCTGTGTAGTTTTGGTATCTGTCCCGGATCTCACTCTGTAGCCCAGGCTGGCCTTGAACTCACAGAGATCTGCCTGGCTCTGCCTCCCAGTGCTGGGATTAAAGGCGTGTGCTACCACCGTCCGGCTTTGAGAGACAGTTCTCATTCAAACCTTTACATACACCAATACTTCTCAAAGTGACTTCCAGACTCAATGTGATCCCCTTCCAAATCCGAGGACGTATTTTATTTTATTTTATTTTTTATTTTTTATTTTTTTTTGGTTTTTCGAGACAGGGTTTCTCTGTGTAGCTTTGCGCCTTTCCTGGAACTCGCTTTGGAGACCAGGCTGGCCTCGAACTCACAGAGATCCGCCTGCCTCTGCCTCCCGAGTGCTGGGATTAAAGGCGTGCACCACCACCGCCCGGCGAGGACGTATTTTAAAGAGACAGAATCCACCACCACATGGAGATGGGATCTCTGTGAAGACTAAAGAGTAAATAAAGTCCATGGTCTGACATACTCAGATTTTAAAACTTCCTACTGGGGTAGAGGCCTGACTGAATGAGTGTTTAAGGTGCTTAAAGCCCCGAGTTCATCCCTAGAACAAAAAAACACCACTACCTCAAAATTTAATACAAAACGAACTGGTGAGTATAGTATGAGCGTATAGTTAGACACACAAACCAATAATAGAGTCCAGAAATAAACCCTCCTATGATATCATGGTCAAATGATACTCAAGTGCTGAGACCATTCAGTGGGAAAATGGAGAGAGTCTGAAGAAACAGTGCTGAGAAAATCTGATATCCACGTAGAAAACTTTATTAAAACTCACTCAAAATACTCTAAGTCTCAGCTGTAGCGATTAGGTAAGAAAAAGACCTAAGCGATAAAATAGGACCAGGCCAGATGTGATGTCCCATGCCTTAACCCCAGCACTTAGAGGCAGAGTCAGGCAGATCTCTGAGTTTGAAGCCAGCCTGGTCTACAGAATAAGTCCCAGTACAGCCATACACAGAGAAACCCTGTCTTGAAAAACCAAGAAGAAAAAGAAGACAAACTAACTTTGCAGGAAAATTGGGTGTGATGGTACTCACCTTTAATCCCAGCACTCAGGAGGCCTCACAGTTGAAACCTTGTCTCAAAAAAAAAAAAAGGCAAACCAACCCCCTAAAAAGAGGCAAACGTGACTACATAGAAGACCTTAGAGTCTAACAGAAAACTCTCGAGCCTAATGAAACTTCAAGCTGCAGAATACAGTCAATCCGTACACACATCTTTAATCACCTTCATATATACCAACAGTGTACTCTCAGAGAAAGCAACTGTATACACACACATACGTCTTTAATCACCTTCATATATACCAACAGTGTACTCTCAGAGAAAGCAACTGTATACACACACACACATACACACACACACCTTTAATCACCTTTATATATACCAACAGTGTACTCTCAGAGAAAGCAATTGTATACACATACACACACACACACACCTTTAATTACCTTCATATATACCAACAATGTACTCTCAGAGAAAGCAACTGTATACACACACATACGTCTTTAATCACCTTCATATATACCAACAATTTACTCAGAAAGCAACTATATACACACATACACACACACATATCTTTAATCACCTTCATATATACCAACAGTGTACTCTCAGAGAAAACAACTAGGGAAAACATCCTTTTAAAAATAACTAAGCCAAACTGGAGAAGTGGCTGAGAGGTTAAGAGCACTGGCTGCTCTTCCAGAGGACCTGGGTTCAATTCCCAGTACACACATGGCAGCTCACAACTATCTGTAATTCCAGTTCTAGAGAATCTGACACTCTCACACCAATGCACATAAAATAAAGTTAAATAAATTAAAAAACAAAACCAAAACTAAGCCAGGTGCCTTTAATCTCAGCACTCAGGAGGCAGAGGCAGAGGTGGGCAGATCACTGTGAGTTTGATGCCAGCCTAGTCTACAGAGTGAGATCCAGGATAGCCAGGGCTACACAGAGAAACCCTGTCTCAAAAACGAAACAAAATAAAAACAAAAAACATTAAATAATTAGGAATTTATCACTCCACAGAAGAGGAAGAGCTCTACAACAGAAACTTCAGGACACTGAAAATCACAGAAGACACTCAGAAGGAAAGACATCTGCTCCTGGAGTGGCAGAAGTGTGAAAACAGCTTTACTGCCTGAATTAATTTACTAATTTAATCCAACACCTACCAAAATTCCAGTGTCATATTTCACAGGTTTAAGAAAAACAAAGGATTTATGTGGACCAAAAGGCCACAAACAGCTAAAGCAATCCTAAGAAGTAAGAACAATGCTGACCTCAAGCTATACCAGAGTTAATGTGATAAAGACAGCCTGTCACAGGTAGAAAAACAGACAAGTAGGGGCTAGAGAGTTGGCCCTGTAGTTAAGAGCATGTACTGCTTTTGAAGGCCCTGAGTTCAGTTCCCAGCACCCACACGGTAGCTCATAACCATTGGTAACTCCAGTTCCAGGGGGTCAAACATCATCTTCTGACCTCCAAGGGCACCAGGCACGTAAGCGCTGCACATACATACATGCAAGCGAACTCTGACACATAAAGACTTAAAAGTCTAAGAAAATTACAGTAAGTAGATTTGCAGACCAATGGGATAGAGAAGACCCAGAAACAAAACTCTGTTGTGTCTACTTAATTTCAAAAGAGATACAAACAGATGGGGAAAGCTGATTCAATGAACGGTGCTGATGAAACTGGACATCTACCTACAGAAGAATTAGATTAGACTGCCATCTTCCACCTTCTACAAATATCAACTGAACTCGTGGATCCAAAGCTTTCATTTCAACAGGAAACACTGGAACTTTTTAAAAGAAAAACAGGGGTAGGCAAGAATTTCTGAAAGGAACATCAACTGGACAACTGGACAGGAACTAGCCCCAAGTTCAACAGATTAGGGTCCATGGAAATAGAAGATGTTGGTTAATTTCACTATGACGGGAGCTGTTTGCATCAGGCCCTGAAGCACCACCCCTCACGGTAGCAGGTAACTGTTACGCCTGCCTATGACCTTGAGGTACAAGCTCCTGGAGTGTGGCAGCTGGTGGGGATGGGGGAGAGGGGCACAGGACAGGACAACGACCCACTTATATAGCTGTCTTTTCCGCTACCTCATGGGGGGGCCGGGGGGGGCAGAGCTTGCCAGAGTACAGCATTGGACTGTGCCTCACTCTTCCAGGATCCTATGACAAATTCCTTTATTCTGTCTTGTGAGTTAACCCCCAAATAGATTCCTTTGATCATTAAGCAGACTCTGTGGATTGCTAGCGACATAATCCCATTATCGTGATGTTTATTATTCACAAGTTATTGATAATAAATTTTAATTTAGGGTCTGGGGAGATAGCTCAGAGATTAAGAGCACTGACTGCTCTTCCAGAGGTCCTGAGTTCAATTTCCAGCAACCGCATGGTGGCTCACAACCATCTGTAAGGAGATCTGGTGCCCTCTTCTGGCCTGCAGGCATACATGATGTATACATAATAAATAAATCTTTAAAAAAAAATGTTTTAATTTAAAAAAGTTAAAAACAGAATGATGATATGATTCAAATATTACACCTCTAGGTGTACACCCAAAATAATTAAAACCAAGAACGTGACTAGATAGTTCTATGCCCATATTTAAAGTAACAGTCACAATGGCCAAAAGCTGGGCACAACCTAAGTGTCCATCACTGGGTGAATAAAAAACCAAGAAGGTAAGTATGTATACACACACACACACACACACACACACACACACACACACACACACACACAAAGTAGGATGTAACTCAACCTTTGAAAGGAAGAAGTGGTCTGAGGTGTAGCTCCAAGGCAGATCACTAGGACTCAAAGGTCATGGGATCAATCCCATCACTGAATAAGGAAAAACAAAACAAAACCTGGCACTTACCTTGACAATACAACTTGAGTGATATAAACTAGTCATAAAAGGCCAAATGCTATGTGATTCTACTTGTAAGATATTAAAAGTCAATATTTTTCATTTTTATTTATTTTTCTGTTATCAGTTTGATACAGTATAAATTCTTATCCTAATAGTGAAATATTTGATTGAGGCTTGCACAGTAATTGAGTAAAACCAAAACTTATTATAAACCACAGTCATCCTAGGGTCCCCCCTGCTATGTAGCCTCCCTGGTTCTGTGGGTTGTAGTCTGATCTTAGCTTTATATCTAGAATCCACTTATGAGTGAGTACATACCATGTTTGTCCTTCTGGGTTTGGGTTACCTCACTCAGGCTGATATTTTCTAGTTCATCCATTTACCTGCAAATTTCATGCTATCATTGTTTTTCTCTGCTGAGTAGTACTCCATTGTGTATATGTACCACATTTTTTTCATCCATTCTTTTGTTGACGGGCATCTAGGTTGTTTCCAGGTTCTGGTTATTACAAATAGTGCTGCTATGAACATAGCTGAGCATGTATCTTTGTGGTATGATTGAGCATTCTTTGGGTAGATGCCCAATGGCACAGGAGATCACTTCCTAAATGTAACACCAGCAGCACAGACACTGTGCACAACAATTAATAAATGCAACCTCTTGAAACTGAGAAGCTTGTGTAGGGCAAAAGACACGGTCAATAAGACAAAAGACAGCCTACAGAATGGGAAAAGATCTTCACCAACCCCACATCTGACAGAGGATTGATCTCCAAAGTATATAAAGAACTCAAGAAACTAGACATCAAAATACTGAACAATCCAATTTAAAAAATGGGCTAAAGAGCTAAACAGAGAATGCTCAAAAGAAGAATCACAAATGGCTGAAAGACATTTAAAGAAATGCTCATCATCCTTATCATCAGAGAAATGCAAATCAAAAACTCTGAGATACCACCTTACACCTGTCAGAATGGCTATGATCAAAAACACCAATGACAGTCAATGTTGGAGAGGATGTGGAGCAAAGGGAACACTCCTCCACTGTTGGTGGGAATGCAAGCTTGTACAACCACTGTGGAAATCAATATGGCGGTTTCTCAGAAAATTGGGACTCGATCTATCTCAAGACCCAGCCATATCACTCTTGGGCATAAAAGTCAAATTCTTAAGAAACAAAGGCCCGGCGGTGGTGGCGCACACCTTGGGAGGCAGAGGCAGGCAGATCTCTGTGAGTTCAAGGCCACCCTGGTGGAATTCACAGAGTGAATTCCAGGACAGGCTCCAAAGCTGCACAGAGAAACCCTGTCTCGAAGAAAAGAGAGAGAGAGAGAGAGAGAAAGTAGAATGTAGTTACACAAGAAGAGAGAATAGGGAGTTATCGTCTAATGGGCAAGAATTTCAGTTCTCAGTGGGGGAGGGGGGGTGCACGCCTTTAGTCCTAGCATTTAGGAGGCAGAGGCAGATGGATCTCTGTGAGTTCAAGGCCAGCCTGGCTACAGAGTGAGTTCCAGGACAGCCAGGGCTACACAGTGAAACCCTGTCTCAAAAAATAAATAAATAAATAAAATAAATCCTCCTCTATTCTATTATATAAAGCATATCCAGGTCTGCTTTCCAACACATTTTTATTTTATAAGCCTTTTCTAAGCATCCTCAGTTGTTCTTAACTGCCTTTTCCTTGACCCATTTTTAACAAGTGGTCTATTCCCCTGAAGAATGGAGCCACATCTGCCAGAAGCTGCTGTATATGTACTTTTTCCTGTTCTGAATCACATTCAATTGGAAAACACATTCTCTTCCTTTTACACCTAGGAATTCACCGGGCAAGGACACCTATATTTCACTTTTACCTTCCCAATACTGCAGAGGGTTTGGAGAACACCTTGGCAGCTGGACCTGGGCTATGGTAGCTGAACAAGGTGGATTAAGCCAGCTAGAGAGCAGAGTCCCTCTGTTAAAACACCTTTCCTGAGTTGCTTTTGATCATGGTTGTTCCATAGCAACAGAAAGCAAACCAGAACAAGAAACATTGCCTACAACTTTTTGAAAATTATGAAAATTTATATGGCTGTCCATTGAGGCAGAAATCACAGCCACATGTGGAAACTGTCTGAAATGTGGCTAGTATAACTGAAGAACTGTATTTCCAAGTCTGATCCACATCTGAATAGCCATTTCTGGACTGGGGAGAGGGCTCAGCAGTTAGGAACACTTGCTGCTCTAGCCGAGGACCTGTTTGGCAGCCACATCTGGTGACCTGTGCATATACTCACACAGAGGCACACATCCATATAATTTAAAGTATTTGTTTGTTTGTTTTTGGAGGCAGGGTTTCTCTGTATAACAGTCCTAACTGTCCTGGAACTCATTCTGTAGACCAGGCTGGCCTCGAACTCAGAGAGCTGCTTGTCTCTGCCTCCCAAGTGCTGGAATTAAAGATATGCGGTCACCACACCTGGCTAATTTAAAATGATTTTAAGGGCTGGAGAATTGGCTCAGATGTTGATAGCACTTGGGCTCAATTCCAGGCAACTACATGGCAACTCACAGCTTCCTTTACCTCCAGTTCTAGGAGATCACACACTTTCCTCTGACACAAGGCATACACATAAAATACAAATATTTAAATCTTTTAAATAAATGTTAAAAAGCTGTCAATGGCCACTTGTGGATAGAGGCTATCCTACTAGTGCTGTTTGAGAACACTCTGACGTGTACTGTCTTGTGGCTTGTTTCGGGGTATTAATTTTTCCCATCACAAAAGACAAGAATTAGAAATACCTGGTCTCAACAGAGCTAAATACTTGTTCCCAAGCCTTTCACTATGGAAAACCATAAAATGACTCTTAGAAATTCTGAAATCTGGGCTTTCTCCATAACCTTTCATGGCTACGGAGTAATACATCCCAAGTATTACTCCCACCCTAACGTACTAACGTCATTCTGTAGTTAAAGGTTCAAAACAAGAGACAGCACCCTACCATCTTCACAATGTAGTAGGCCATAGCATGTAAGTGTCGGCTGGAAGTCCCACTACAGATGACAAAGTAGTCTGTGTATCTCATTTCTGGAGGAACCTTGATCACACAAATGTCTCTTGCATTTTCTTGCCTCAGAAGTGAAACCAGCATGTCGATGTCAAACTTGGCGCCAACGTGATCTGAAATGCAGAAGTACTCCAGTCAGATGGCCAAGGAAAAAACAGACCTGCAGATATCCAGAGAATCAGACCGACACAGAGGTCTCCTGGAGGGTGGCACTGCTCCTCCAAGAGTGTATTTATATCCAAAATGATTAGGTGAATACCAGGCAGGAGGATTCCAAGTTCAAAGCTGGCCTGAGCAACTCAGACAATGTCTAAAAAATTAAAACAAACAACAAAAAAGCCTGAGAATGTGGATCAGTGGAGGAATACTTGCCTAGCATGCACAAGGCCTGGGTCCAATACCAATACACTCAAAACAAAACCAACCAAAAATCGGCTCAAAACTGAAGCTGGGCAGCAGTTTCGTACAGCCCAGCTCAGCTCAGCTTTTCTAGGCAGAATTCGGAAATCACACAGACACTGAATACACCCATTGCTATTAGGAAATGCCTTCTATCCCTTAGGACTTAAATGAACAGTATACAGCAAATGCAGAGATGCTACACAGCAGCACGACTTGGGGAGATGATGATATCCTGGGGCATGGGCATGTTACATCGAATCGGCTACAATGCTTACTGAACTGTAATTGGGAGACAGGTGGGTTCTCAAGCAGTATCTGGTCCACAGCCCTCAACGGTATAAAGAAAAGTGCTGCTGAGACCAATCAGTAAGAGTTAAACACATAAGTGGGTCTCATTTTCAAACATCTTGGTTTTCTTCTTTTTCTTTTTGTTAGAGATTTAGACACTTCGTTCTAAAAACAAATACTGAGTGGATAAATTTGTAATATGTCTAAGTTCAAATCTGACTCCAGGGCTGGAGAGATGGCTTAGAGGTTAAGAGCACTGACTGCTCTTCCAGAGATCCTGAGTTCAATTCCCAGCACCCACATGGTGGCTCACAACCATCTGTAGTGAGATCTGGCACCTTCTTCTGTGTACATAATAAATAAATAAGTCTTTAAAAAAAAAAATCTGACTCCAAAGGACCTGGAAGTTCATCAAAGGCTCAACTCCTCATATTCTATTATCTCTCAGTATGTTGTTGTTACTGACCTTCTCTCATGCGTCTAAAACCGCTGGCAATAACTCAAGGATCTTACGCGGGCCCCAACTCCTCTTAGAACTTACACTGGCCGGAGCTCCAGGCTGCTCAGAATCTGCACTCCCCAACACTCTCAAAAATCCATTTCCTACGACCCTGGGTAGATCCTGAGGAGGGGTGAGAACCCTGGGGCCGTGATGCCAAGGGTCGGGTGTGCCTAGCCATGTGGGCCGGGGTTTTGAAGACCGCACGTCTCCTGGCCTCCCGTTCTTTCCGCCAGCCACCTCAGTCCCTCCTAGCTCTGCGTAAGTTCTGCGGCTCACCCCCGAAGCGCACAGAGCGGCTCAGGGCGCCCTGGGTCAGACGGGGCCACTAGCTGTCCTGCCCGCGTACCTGCGGCTCCCGGCTGCGGGCGAGCCTCGCCATCGCTCCGCTCCTCCGGCCGAGGCCCACGGTGCAGGCCGCGCGCCAGCCTCGGGGGCAGGCCGGTCGCGGGCCCCGCCGAAAGCCATCGCTCTGCCAGCCGAGGAAGCCGGGGAGCCGAAGACACCGCCGGGCCCGCTCGCTGCAAGACCACCCCGCACCAGAGCAGCGGCCACAGGCGCCGCGCAGGGGACCAGCCGGGACCCATGGCTGTAGCCGCGACGTCTCTGGGGGGGAGGGCCCTCAGGGCGGCGCCGGGATTCTACGTCACGGTGTGGGCGGAGCCATGACCGAAAGCGGAGATTAGGACGGATTGGCTGAGGCAGAGTTTATTTATTAAGGAGTTGAAAGGGAGCGGTGGTGTCCTGCGCCTTTGGGTTCGAGGCCAAGCTGGTCTAAAGAGCGAGTTCCAGGACAGCTAGGGTTACATAGAGAAAAACCCTGTCTCAAAAAAAAAAAAAAAAAAAAGTGAATCCAAATAATTTTTATAGAGAGATGGCTCAGCAGTTAAATATGAGTTCAATTCCCAGCACCCACATGGTGGCTCACAACTATCTATAATGAGATCTGATGTTCTCTTCTGTCTAATGCCCTCTTCTGTTATATAGGCATACATTCAGATAGAACACTCATAAAATAAATAAAATAAAAATAAGTAACAAGGGCTGGAGAGATGGCTCAGAGGTTAAGAGCACTGGCTGTTCTTCCAGAGGTCCTGAGTTCAATTCCCAGCAACCACATGGTGGCTCACAACCATCTGTAAAGAGATCTGATGCCCTCTTCTGGCCTGCAGTCATACATGCTGTATACATAATAAATAAATAAATCTTTAATAAATAAATAAATAAATAAATACATAAATAAATAAATAACAAAAGCATTCCTACATCTCTCATCTCTCTCCTCTCCTTCACTCCCCTCCTCCCCCCACCTCAAAGCACATAAAATATAAATAAATAAATAAATAAATACAGTTAATGCAGAGACTCATAACTAGTCAAAGTACTGAGATTATGTGAACGTTGAGTGCGTAGCTCTAAACTGGACATTTATATCAAACCCTCCCCTCAGGCTCAGGGGACATCATGGTGCAGGGGATGGAAAGCTGTAAGAACTGGGGATTAGGAAGGAATGTTGTGAAACGCTAGCCTATGGCCATGACTCACGGCAGCCATGGTTACCTGCACAAGATCAGACCAATCAATATTACAACACAGACTGGAAAGGCGCGAGAACTCACCCCTAGCTGAGGAGCTATTGGCAACTGATAGCTGTCAGGGGAAGAGAAGTTATTTTTCTTTCTATGTGTAGCAACTGGTAGGTTGCTCATGCTTCTGTGCATGGCTGCACATCCATGCGCACAAGGGAAGCACTAATTGAGCATCTTCATCCTCATGACTGATGACACAGACAGCTTCCTCCCTTCTTCATTGCTTCCTCCCTCTCCTTCCCGCTGTTTTCATTCCTAGCCACTTTCCAGCTCTATGGCCGCGCATGCGCTGTCCAGCAGTCAGGCAAAAGCTTAGTCACTTCAGGGCCCTATGTCCTACGGAATCCGTTTGCCACGTGGTCACGTGATCTCTGTGCGTGCGTGGCATGGCTGCCTGAGTCCATAAGTGCATGTGTTAGGTGACCAATAAAAGGAGGCTCCACTCGCGCCCTGACCTTTTCTCCCCACGTTTCGTGTCCGTTAGGCCTATCCACGTTCACTCCCTTTCCCCCTCCCTAATAAAACTCTTACAGTGGGCTCTGTTGTACCTCGTGTTCCCCTCCCACTCCACCCCACCCCCAGTAAATAGCGCCCCAAATAAATAACACCGGCCCCTCTGATAATGTTTCATGTAGCCAAGGCTGGCCTTCAACTAACTCCCTGTGTAGTCCAGGATGACTCTCCACTACTAATCCTGATCTTCCTGCCTCGTCTCCCAAGTGCTGGGGTTTCAGGTATGGGCCACCACAGTGCCTGAGAATTGCTCCCTGAGTGTCCTGTGTATTGTCTGCCGGCGGTGATACAGTAGGATACCATAGACTGGATGGCTTACAAGACAGAACTAAGGTGCTCACAGTTCTGGAGGCTGGAAACCCAGGATTAAGGTGGTGGCAAGTTGGCTTCTGGCGGGGTCATCTACTTCACTTCTTACTGTGTTCTCACCCGCCCCTTCCTCTGTGCTCACTGCCCCCTGGAAACACTTCCTCTTCCTGTAAGGACTTTAGCCAGCAGGCTCTGCCCTATGAGACTTCATTTAATCTTAATTAACTCCTTAAACAGCTTCGACATTTCAGTGAGTGGTGGGTTGGGACACATAATTCAGTAGTTGTCTTTGTCGGATTCTCCTTGCTTTATGATGAAGTATACCCCCAAATAAATGAAATATAAATAAAATTGTAAATTGTAAATTGAACATATGGTAAGTAAAAATGGGATGGGTTCAACACTCCTTACCTACCCAACATCCTAGCTAAACACGTGCACCACAGAGGACCGGTTTTTCCTCAGAATTATGAGCCGACTGGGAAAGTCTATGGCCACTACCCAGAACCAGGGAAAATATTATATACCACATATTTCTATCCTGGGGTGGGGAAATCAAAATTCAAAATCTGAGTTCCAATTTCTTTTCTTTTCTTTTCTTTTCTTTTCTTTTAAAGATTATTTATTTATTTATTTATTTATTTATTCAAAATCTGAGTTCCAATTTCTTTTCTTTTCTTTTCTTTTAAAGATTATTTATTTATTTATTTATTTATTTATTTATTTATTTATTTATTATGTATACAGTATTCTGCCTGCATGTATCCCTGAAATTGGAACTCAGGCCGGGCGGTGGTGGTGCACGCCTTTAATCCCAGCACTTGGGAGGCAACTCTGTGAGTTGAGGCCATCTTGGTCTATAGAGAGAGATCCAGGACAGGCACCAAAACTACACAGAGAAATCCTGTCTCAAAAACAAACAAACAAACAAACAAACAAACAAACAAACAAACAAAGTCTAGTTGTTGGGCTGGAGAGATAGGTCAGTGGTTAAGAGCACTGACTGCTCTTCCAGAGGTTCTGAGTTCAATTCCCAGCACCTACATGGTGGCCAACAACTGTCTGTAACTCCAGTTCCAGGGAATCTGATGCCCTCTTCTGGCCTCTAAAGGTACTTCATGCATGTGATGGTATACAGACATACCTGCAGATAGATAGAATACCCACACATATTAATTTTTTTAAATGTTGATTTGTATAGGAGTTCTCTGTTATATTCTGCATGTTGTATGTTTTAAAGGTATATTTTCACCTTTTCCAGGTTTGTTTTATGATATTTCATGTTCTTTATTAGGTCTTTTAATGATTTAAAGTTTTTTTATTTCTTTTGAGACAGGGCATCACTATGTAGACCAGTGGGCCCCAAGCCCACAATCTTCCTGCCTCTGCCTCCCAGGCTAAGTAGAAGACATTTTATTTACTGAAGTTGGTAGTTTTCTTTTCACTTGAATGTTTATGGTCTTGTTTAGTAGATTCTATTGTCCTGAAGCCACAAAAATATTCTGTATATTCTTGTAAATTTAAAAGTTGATCTGTGTCTTATCCAGTGTTCTATTGCTGTGAGGGGCATCATTACCATGGCAACTCTTATAAATATAAATATTTAATTGGGGCTGGCTTACAGTGCAGAGGTTCAGTCCATTGTCATCACGGTGGGGAGCATGGAGGCTTGCAGATAGACATGGTGCTGGAGAAGTAGCTGAGAGTTCTACATCTGGATCTGCAGGCAGCAGGAAGAGAGAGCCAAGCCCACCCCCAAAGGCACACTTCCTCCAACAAGGCCACACCTCCTAATCCTTTCAAACAGTGCCCCTCCCTGGTGACCAAGTATTCAAATCTAAGAGCTTATGGGGGCCATTCTTATTCAAACCACCATATCCGCTACATTGGAGTCCTTGGTTGTCTGAAACTGCTTTTGTGCATGCTGCATGGTCAGGATCCTTCCCTCTGCTGTGACTTGGACACTGTCTGTTGAATGGCTCCTCTTACTGCCCTTCAGGGTCACTGCTGTCAGAATCATACTCACGGAACTCTATCTCGGTCTCTTCGGGCTTTTCTCTCCCTTTCCTACTACCACAGAGTCTGGGAATTCCTTGTGTGTGTTTTCCAGCTCATTGGTTCTCTCTCTAGCTGTGTCCAGTGTGCTGCCAAACCCTGGTGAAACACTAAAACAAATTATGTAAAAACTAACTAACACACAAAATCTGAGGACTAACTGGATGTTTTGGTAGAAAAAAATGACTGCTAATTACTTTATATGTGATGAGATAATTGTATTGCATATTTTCTTAAAAGGTCTTATTTTTATAGAAAAATATACTGAAATATTTTTGAGTAAAATGATGTAACTTCTGGGATTTTCTTTAGAAATTAAAGTGGTTGGCTTGGTAGGTAAATGTACTCTCCAAGCAAGCCTGACAACCTAGGGTTGATCTCTGGAACTAAGGTAGAAGGACAGAACCAATTCCATGACATTGCCTCTGACCTCCACACATGCGCCATATTGCATGTGTGCCCCTCAGTCTCACACACACACGCACACACACACACACACACACACACACACACACAAATAAATTTAATAAAATAAATCAAAATGACTGAAGTGATCAATTAGATAACGTTGACCATGAACTGAATAATGATTTGAAATTATACTGTGTCAACATTGTGAGGTATTTTGTTTTTGTTTTTGTTTTTTTTGTTTTTGGTTTGTATTTGAAATCTTCCAGTCTAAAACTAAAAATCAAACACAAATTAAAATAAAACCAAAACAGTAGCCACAGAAACCTGATTAGTGTTTCTAACCTTTAGTATCATGGTTTTGGTCTCAGAAAGTGTCTAGGTGGAAGGTCCATTAAGACAAAGTTGGTTCTCTTGTATTGCTTTAGTGATGTCAGCTTCCTCTTCCTAAATGTATGAGATAGGCTCAACTTTTTCAAATTCTAATGCTTGCTATATTACCCAGGCTGGCCCTGAGAACTCCTGAGCTCAAGTGATCCTCCTGCCTCAGCTCCTTGGGCTGAGTCCACGCCACCATGCCCAGATGAGACACATTTACTTATGTTTAGTATCTGCAGTAGTTGCCAATCTGTTTCTCTTGGCTCATTCAGAAAGGATTATTTGTACATGTGTTCAGTGAGTTGCTTTTAATTGCGATTCCATGTTCTTGAGGTTTTATCTGTGGCTTAGCATTCCTGCAGAGAAAGTT